AACTGAATTGGAACACTCTAGGCATGAATGGATAACTTGGGGCCTATCATTACCCGCCGCCTCGAAATCCACCTTGTCCTCAAGGTGGAAGATTATGAGTTCCTCGTACAACCATCCAATTTCCTTTGCAAATACTCCGGTTATGGTCAACGCGAAAGAGGGGTGTTTTCCCCCTTTGCAGTGGACAGACTTATTTAATTGAGCGACTATCATAAGTATAGTATCCAAGGCAACTCCATAGCCTGTTGCCCCTCTCCACAAATTGTCCACTTTTTGAACTTGACTTGTCGAAATCAACGTGTAACTAACCGTGCCTCCATTCTTCCCTTTCCATTGGAGCTCAACACCTGTAAGCTTTTTAAACATCGGCACCCCCTTGTTCGCTGTTGCCAACCAGAGCACTGTGATGGCAGTCGATCTAGGAATGCTTGCGACTTCATTGGAAAAATGGAATGGACTGAAATAGGTATGGAAAGTTGGGCTGTGTTTATTAATTTTGCTCATATATGGACCGTAAGATAAGGGGGCCTATTTCTTGGAGTCAATGCTGTCCTCTACCATCTGGGCCCATTTAATGATATAGCCTAACCCACAAGGCCTAAGTATCCTTTCTTCATCCCAGATTACACGGCCACTTTCATTAACTTTCACCCATTTGACCAATTTCAGTCGATTGATGAAATTTCCTTTCATCACCGCCTCAGGGAACACAGGAGCGGCCAGAACCTCGGAATTTCTCCTGTACTCCTCAACCGCATCTTCCTGCTTCACCGCTAAAAAGTTCTCCAGAATTGAGCTTTCTCAAAATATCCACTCATCAGGATCCCCTCCATTGAAAATTGGTACCTCCAACTTACCATCTCGATTTTCAACTCTCCCCAGTTCCTCACGGCAGCCCCTCCCTTTTGGCTCAACTCCAATTTCATCCAATTTTGTCGGAATTTCAAGGGTAGAGGTGGGTTCGGGTGCAGAGGCTGCCAACGGTTTATCCTTCCTGCGATGGTCGTTTGCACTGGCTCCAATTTTGGGGAAGAAATTTGGGGATGTAGAGTGGCTATGGCTGTGGCTGTAACGTGATTGGAAGGGAAGAGTATAATGGGCTTGGTTTGGTGTTAATAGGGGTTTACCTTTTAATGGGCTAGGTTTACTTCTATTTAGGCTGAAATTTAGTTGGGCCTCTTGCACTATCTCATGTTGCTCATCAAATCTTTGTGCCAACTCTAAATCAGAGCCCAAACCCACTAACTCCCCCATATTCTCTGCTTTCATCTTTTCTACCTGTAGCCCATTAACAAATTCTTCCAAACCTACCACCACTGCACGTTATGATGAAACAGATGTCACAGTTGGCGTGGGGAAACTCTCAATCGTCTTCCAATCTTCGTTGCTTATTCCGGGATCAAAGAGTTTTGGGCATGCAAGCTCCGCTTTCCCAGGTTTAACTTGGTGGTTCGAGCCACCGTTACATGCGCCAACTTCCTCCAGCTTGGGTGGAGTTTCACAAATGGTAAAATTCCCCTCCAACACTCCATCTGAAGTTGTCGGTAATGGTGCTGATACAATTTCAAATCTGTCCAGTTTATGACTTTCAGAAATCGCCCCAATTTCATCTGATTCCGGCCCATTTTCAGAATTGAAGATAGTTTCAGGCGATGCCGTTGCTAGACCTTTTCCCACTGCTGCTCGTCGCACTTTTTCTATCATGGAATCGAACTTCTCCATCATGTGAGACATCACCTTCTCCAGTTCTGATTTCAGATCTTCCTGTACCTCTAGCTGATGTCCCTCCTGATATGGTCGAAATCTGTCAATCATCAAGCCTTTCAATTCTCTCCAAATTAGCACTATCCTCTGTCGATCAACCTCTCGAAACCAATCCCAAGCTTCACCCAACCAACATGCCGTAGCAGCTTCCACTTTTTCCCTCTCTGACAATTGGTTCCTTGCAAAAATTTCATCTTCTTTCTCCAGCCAACAATCTGGATCGTCATCATAGAATTTTTCTATATCTAGTCTACCTACTGAATCCAATCTGTAACCCCTTGCCATTGCCCTAAGATCGATGCTCTGATACCAATTTGATAAGAGCCTGGCTAGTTCACAAGAGCAGAATAAGAAAACAGGAATGAAACTGTGTATTTAATTGGATAAGAACTGAATTACAGAATTAAAGGAAACAATCAGCCATTCGAGAGGGCTGTAACTTTCCCAATTGGATCTACCAATACTCAATATTTTGCATGCCTATTTTGCTCACCCTCCTATTACATTTATACTAATATTCCTCCCCTTTTATTCCCCAAACTACCCCTAATAACTAACTGAATTGGAACACTCTAGAATAGGACTTAACAAGCATGAATGGATAACTTGGGGCCTATCAGAAAGGCATAAACTG